CAATATAATGGTATAGTACATGATGCAATAAAGTAGTAATTCACATAACAGGCAATAGTACACATGTGAGCATACAAAGATACGTGTTACACCATAGTGACAAGAGTACTTGACGTAATGGTGCTAATAGTTCACACTGTACGATGCAGTACACACATATATGCAGAACATATACTCGATGACAAATAGTACACATATAAACGATGCAGACGATTAAATGATGCAGACACATGAAGAAAATAAACATTAATATGGTGCACATAAAAATTATGAGACTCATAGTAGCATACAGTTGATGATAAGGCACGCATGACTTGATATTAACACACAATTGTCCATTCATATATACGTGATGTAATGTGCCCTTATCCCCAGTCGCATAAAATACCCATAAGGTATTTTTTCCTTCTTTCTGCATGCCTTCGTGGTGTAACGGTAGCACACTCAACGCGTATTCGAGAGGTCCAGGTTCGAGTCCCGGCGAGGGCATTGCTCATTTTTCACGTCTTCTGCTTAAAGTAACCTTATGGCTCTACAACATGACCTTGCCGATTGATGTCACTTCATAAATTCCATAAATATAGAATATTCTCACCCTATCTGTTAGCCAATTTCAACTGTCAAAGTATTACAAGTTTAATACATGTGACACGACTTATCTGGGAAGATTTTGAACAGAGGAGTACAGTGGCTCCCAAAAGTGTTCGTACACTTATGATTTTTATTGAAATAGGGCTCTATCTATTAATTAAAAGTAAACTTTCTGAATGAGATTTTAATAATAAGATTGTAATGTTGCGCCCTTCCAACCTGCACGCAACAATAGTGGTGACTGCTGAGAACTGGAAAGTAGACAAAGTTTTGAGAAAGGTCTAAATCCCTTTTTATTCAACTTTAGAAATTACAAATGCGTGCTCTTGACGCTCACAAACTACGCCGACCCGGCGGTAAAATAAAAATAAGAAACTAAAAAAAGAATAGTAACAAGTGACTAACTACGAGGCTCTCTAAACGTAACTAACCTCACCGCGTTCTAAAATACCGCTGATAATTCAGCAAACTTCTGAATATTACGTTGAAAGATTAACAATCTGCCGATGCAAGCACACAGGTCGAAACCAACGAGATAGTATACTGTTATATGAAGTCGTTGGTCGAAACGCGTGGTTCTTCAATTCCTAACTAGCCACCTCCACGCTCGTGAAGCAAGAAAGCACACTTTCGAACTCGTTTCCCTTCTATTTAACTCAGATACTTCCGCTGACAATTTGAATCCTTGCGCGTTCTACTAAAATTTACATACTCTGGCATTGGCAATTCCAGGGGAAAGTAAGGCTTGACAGGAAAGATAGTTTAAACTTAAAATAAATGTTAGTTAAAATAAATATAAACCCTACAAGATCTATAATCAATTCGTAACAAAATTACATGAAATATTTTTTAAATATAGCGAAACTTTATTTTTAAGAAATTAATAATCCAAAAATGGCAAACATTCTATCTCGCAAAAGTCTTCATACACTTCAAAAAAAATCTTGACATATTAGTAAATATTTTCATTTTTCGTTAAATTAATATTTAGTAGGATATCCTTTAGCATCCACAAACAGCGTTTAAACGTCTGGGAATAGATTTTGCTAGTTTTTTTTGTAATTTCTGTATCAATGTTCATCCATTCTTCCATCATGAATGTTTTGACTTCGCTTCTCGTTTTGATGTCGTGTTTTCGTACTCTGACCTCCAGTTCTTTCCAGATGTATTCTATGGGATTTAAATCTGGCGACTGAGGTGGTATTTTCAAAACTTGTGGACAATTATAGAGACACCACAGGCGAACGTTGAAAGCCATAAATAAAGTTGTTTCCAATATCCAAATTTTGGGCTGATAATTTTAAATTGCCTCTTAAAATATTTAAATAAGAGAATGATTCATTATGCCATCAATAAATAGCAAATTACCTAGTCCTGATGCTGCCATGCACCCCCACACAAGAACACCACCGCCATGCTTAACTGTTCCAAACTAAGTTCTTATAATGAAGTTCCTCATTTTTTATTCTCCATACAATTATTCGACCATAGGAACCAAAAATGTTAAATTTGCTTTCGTCAGCAAATAGCACATTATTCCAGTACGTTTCGGGTGTATTTATCATTGATTTTGCGAATGAAAGCCTAAGCTTTCTGTTTTTCTCACTAACAAAAAATTTTTTTACGGGCAGAACGCCCATGTAATCCAGCATCTTTGAGAACTCGTTGAACAGTTTCAGGTGAAATTGAAGTAGAAGACTTTGCATTAAATTCTGCAGAAACTTTTACAGCACTCAAACGTGGGTTTTTCATAAATTTTCTAATAATAAACCTCTCATTACGTTTAGTTAACTTTCTCGAAAATCTTTTTTTACCTTGTTTTCAACCCGATTTTCTTCTTTAAAGCGGAGCCCACCAGCGGCCGAGCGGTAAAATCGCTGAACACTGGTAAATTCGGTCCGAGGTTCGAATCCCGCGAACGGGCTGGCTGCATGGGCGTTTTCATGGTTTTTCTCATGTGTAACGTGTATACGAGCCATTTTCTTTTAGAAAGTCCTCCACGAAGGCATCCCTCCTCTTAGGCAGATAGCCCTCGAGGCTTTGCCATAATCACACACACACTTCTTTAAAGCGTTTTATCACATACTGCACTATAGAATGGGATAAATTAACTAATTTAGCGATATTTAGAATTGATTTCCCACTACTATGGTGAAAAATTATCAATTTTCAAATGCTGTTTGTAATTTCTTTACGACTGCGACCCAGTTTTCAATAATAAATAGAATATTATGAAGTAAACAATAAAAAATTAAAGCAAACGACTTTTTAAATGCCACCACAATGCAAAAATTAAAAAAAGCGGCAAACGATAATTCTAATTTTGATTTTATCCAAAAAAAATTAGTGTACGAAGACTTTTGTGAGATAAAATGTTTGTCATTTTTTTTATTATTAATTTCTTAAAGATAAAGTTTCGCTATATTTAAAAAATATTTCATGTAATTTTGTTACGAATATGTTATAGATCTTATTATTAAAATCTCATTCGGAAAGTTTATTTTTAATTAATGGATAGAGTCGTATTTCAATGAAAATTAAAAGTGTACGAACACTTTTGGGAGCCACTGTATACAGTTAGTCACAAAAGTCTGCGTGCAGACTAAATTTTAAATTAAAAAAACACTTAAAGCATAGAAAAATGTATTTTAATCATTGCAATTTTTTTTCTTCTATTAGCTAAAATTGTAAGCTTAAATAAAAAGCAAATGATATCAGTGTAATACTTTTTACATTTTTTTCAAAAATATATTTTGTCAAAAAAACTCAGAAATTCCCTCCAATAAGTCTGCGTACACTTTAAAAAAAAAGCAAAATATAAGTTTTTTACATTACTTCAATACTTTGTAGGATATCCTTTATTCTTCAAAACAGCATGCGACGTCTGGGCATTGACTGAACTAGTTTTCAGTGTCATCCGACGTAAATTTCGCCCCTTCTTCCTGCAATTTACTAATTAGCTTCTTTCGCGACGTAATATTGTGTGTTTTCGAATTCGTTTCTCCATTTTGTCCACAATGTTCGATTGGATTGAGGTCTGTGACTGTGGAGGAGTACGCAACTGTCTTGGAGTGTGATAGAGGAGATATTCCTCACAATTTTAGCTGTATGTTTTCGGGTCGTTGTCTTGTTGGAAATAAAGGTATTAGAAAGGTTTAAATTTCGGGCACTGTCTCGTAGATTTTTCTTCAGAATATCCAGATAACATACTTATCCATGACTTTATCAATAATGTGAAAATTTCCAACTCCTTTCGACGACATACACCCCCATACCATCACACCGCCAACTCCATGTTGACAGTTTGGATTAAAATTTCTCAGATTCAGTTCTGTTCCTGGTTTTCTCCATACAATAGGGTGGCCATTAACTTAAATATTGTAAATTTACTTTCATCTGTTCCAGAAGTCCTGCGAAGAGTTTAAATATGTTTGGGCAAAAGCAATTCTTTTCTTTCTATTTGTCTCGGAAATGTATGGTTTAAACCTAGGTTTGCGTCCATGATAATCGGACTTTCGCAGCACTTTTCGTACAGTTTCAGGAGAAATTTCCTTGTTGCTAGTTAAAAAAATGTCTTTTACAATGCTTGCAGCAGAAAGTTTAGGATTTTGTTTAGTTCGTAAAAGAATTTTTCTTTCTGCTCTCTGCGTTAGCTTCTTCGGTCTCTCACATCTTGGTTTTACAGCAAGACTACCAGTGTCAAGATAGTTTTGAATAACTCTTTGCACACTAGAAAATGGTTTTCCAATGGTTTTACCAATATAACGAAGAGTTTTACCTTCATCTATCAATTTGATAATTAGTTGTCTCGTAACTAAAGGAATTTCTGTTTCTGAATTGGTTGTCATTTTCGTCAAAGAAAATAGAAATAGCAACTTCCAATCAACGTGAAATTGCTTCGGAAGTCAATGGCCTTGAAAGTGTAACCTTCTTTGCATTCTCAAACTTGAAGCTTTAAAAGTTAGATAAGAAATCACCCCGCCTCCTTCGCGTGTACGCAAACTTTATTGGCTTTGATTTCTGGGCCACTTATCTTTTAAAAATTAGTGTGCATAAATTATTAGATATGAAAATATACGTTAAATAATTTCAAATTCCTTATGAAACTAAATATTCAAAAAATAAAACTTTAAGAAACTACCCTTTTCGCACCTTAAAATTTGGATTTGATATTACTTTTCTTGATGTACGCAGACTTTATTGACTAACTGTATAAATTACAACGCGATTCTTAAACTGCCTTCTAATTTAATATATGGTGTGTATTGTTTTACCTAATATATAAAAACTTTATTTTATATCAAAGCAAACCTATGAGTGAGAAATTAGAAACATCTCTATTAAGTTTACTATTTTACCTTTTAGAATTGTGTTAAAACTGTGTTCTTTAATTCACATTTTCCATCATTAATTCTTCATAGGTGTGCGTAAGAGGACTAAACATTTTCAAAGGATATTTGAAAGATCCCGTTAAAACAGCTGAAACCATTGATAAAGATGGATGGCTTCATACTGGAGATATTGGAGCGTGGATGGAAGTAAGATATTCCTTATAAACATATTTTTTACGAAAATTTTAGGTAATAATAGCAATAAAACGTCCGATTCAGTAATCTTTGATCATGAAAGTTTCAAGCGGTCATTCCGTTTGGCCGCCGAAATCGAATCAGAAAGGAACTTCCGTCGTTAACCTTCAGTGACCTTGTCCATTTTGACGCTGGTTGACTTCTTATTTTAACGACAAATCAACATTAAAATAAATAAGTCATTAACACATACATAATAGGACATAATTCTGAAATATCGGCCGAAGAAGAAAACTAGTCTGAATTTTGATTACCATTCAAAAACATATTTCAGCCTTATGCCTAACTTCTCAGAATTTATTTTGGATGATCAACTTTCGTCGCTTGTATTTGAGTAAAATTTGACCATTAACATGAAGCAGAATGCATATAAGCATAATAATACAGAAAATACAAGAAATACAAGAAGAAATCGGCATTCGTGATATGTAATGTTTAAAATTAACAAACAAGATTATTTTTCTTTTGCTATTAAACATTCTAGAGTTTCATTATTGTTTGCTCACATTTAGATTTAAACATTGGATTATCGTTTTCAGTAGTTCACACTATTATAGTTTTACATAAAAACTCAAATCATTGAAATGTTTAATATGCTGCACCTTTTAGTAGCTATGTGATATATATACTTTTAAATAATTTAATGAAAATAGCACTACTGTTTCATAGATAAAGAAAAAAGATCTGATGTCCGTATTTTAAATACTGCAAAAATGCTGTTTGCACTTCTAAAAAATTTCCTGATTTTTAGGGTATTTAAAAATAAAATCGGTAAATTTCTTTTAGTTCTTACTGTAAAACTCAATTAATTTCCCAATACAAAAGATAATAATGCCCAATACACATAAAGATAAGAAAGTCTTCGAACGGACGAGAATTATATTTAAGTGCATGCTATTGTTCAAGGGACTCAAGTGTAATTTATAAGGAAAACTGGAAGTTATTATATCGCATGAATAATAAGTTAAGGAAAATTTTTAAATATTGATATTAACGCTGTGAGAATAAATATCTTTCGTTTCAAGACAAGTGGTTAACTCGATTTGATTAATGAAGAGAGACCCCTTTAACGGAAAATGTAAAATTTGTCAGAAAACGGTTAATATTAAGTACGAGGATGTTAGAGCATTTAAGCAAGAAACACCAGTCGTTAATATTGAATAGGGATTCATCGCAATCGGTTTCGAACTTTTTCAGATGAAATCTTCAGAAGAACAAGACAATATATCAGCAATTGAAATTACAGCCCTAATTGTACAAACAAATTGTTATAGCGCTTTATTTCCAGATGTAGAACAAAATGTAGAAGTATTTGCGAGAGTGTGTTTGCTCCTGCAGCTCAAAAAATGCGAAAAAAACCTCTTTTCTTCTCCCGGAAACTTGTTTACCTTTCCCGGATTTTGACAAGCAAGAGATAGTAACGCTACCAATACACATTGTAAGATATTTCTCCCTCCTTTCTGCATGCCTTCGTCGTGTAACGGTTGCACACTCAGCGCGTATTCGAGAGATCCGGGTTCGAGTTCCAGTGAGGGCGTTGCACATTTTTCATGTCTCCTTAGTGTTTCGGGCGCCACTATAGAGCCTATCACTTTCCTCATTCCATAAATTTTTCTTTTTCTTTTCTTTTCTTTTCTTTTCTTTTTTTTTTTTTTTTTTTTTTTACGAATTTTGAATACATGTATAAATATGTTACGGTGAAACACCGAAATCTGGAGAATGCCGACTTTCACTGATGAATGTCAACATTCACATAGTCTCTTGGTGTATGTCCGAAATATTTTCAAATACTCTTATTTCTGACTTACACCGGTCAATGTCGACATTCACCCTGTACTAATGGTGAATGTTGAACATATAACAATATTATATTTTCTTCTCCGTCATTCAGTCGCGAATAAACGCACTTGAGACTTGAAATATGAACTTAAGAACATGAGAACCTAAAACATACAATACATTCAAAATGAGAAAGGAAAATAATAGAAGTTAAAAACTTTCTTAATTATACAGTACGTTCTAATGAGAAAATAAAATAACAGTAATAAAAATTACTAAATTAGGTGATTCAAATCTTTTTATTGCAACAACTTAAACTATTATGGCACTTTATGACATCCTTTCGACTTTCACCAGAGCATATCTGTGATTGTCGACATACACGGTGAGGGTCCGAAATACAAGAATGTAGTGAAAAATTCGGTCTTTCACCACGTATTGGTGAATGTTGATATTCTCCGGTGAATGTCGGCATTCTCCAATTTCGGTCTTTCACGGTAACATATATATATGTGTGTGTGTGTGTGTGATGTACCAGCTTTTGTTCCGAATAAATAGATTGGTGAAGAATCATAGACGTAGTTGAAGCTCAAAGTATCAGACGATAAGTTTAAAAAACAGGATCCATTTATTATTATTCATGAGAAATAGCAGTTACAAAAATCATATCTCCGGAGTAAATAAAAAAGAACCACTAATAACTTTTTGTATGAAGTTTACTGCATCGTTACATTAAAGGAAAGATCCCGATATTCCTTTGCGAGTCCTTTTATAGCCTCTGGAAAGGTGGAGCTTCCAAGAAATGACCTCAGCCTCGTCAACCATTCCTGTTCGCTTTAAATATCTCCAGAACATTCTATAACTGTACGTGTAGAAGAGGCGGGAAAAACAACTTGACTACGGAGCTGTGGGTTTAATTCCACGTACTTTCAAATAAGAGACCATCGCCATTAAAAATGAAAAGAACATACAGTTCGAATTTTAAGTGTATTTTTGACTATGGAATTTTATTATTACATTTATATAACTGTATCCGGCCCTATGTACGTATTGTAACTGTGCATGCCTTTCAGCAATTTCCACAAATTGAAGGTACTAGAAATTTTTCGGCGTATGGGGTAAGACACGTTAAACAAATAATATTTGTTTAACTTGCTCCGTCAATTAGACACTACACGGACTGGTCCCAACTGAGAGGCTCCCATATCCAGGCAAGAGGTGGGTCGCCAGTCATCCTTTCCGAAGAGGATAAATGTACGCTATCCATGCTACCACCCCGAGGCTGCAATCTGAGGTGGCAGACTTTAAAAGTTTCTCTACAACTGCTGTTACCTCCAAGGCCCGCGGGGCCAGCTTCGCTTTTAGATGCATTTTGCAATGCTCTGTACTCAACATCCTTAGTAGTTTGAAGTGGTAACCACTAATTGTACTCTATCGTACTGAGAAGAGCTGTACGAGTATTTTTGAGAACTGTAAAATGTCTTTTTATTGTTTTTGGAAGAATAAATTTCATAAAGCTATCATCGATTCTGTCTGCATTCAACCCATTACGAATCCATACACACGTAACAGTATCTTCCGTAGACAGTTTTGTTTCACGCTGATGAGATGTGAAAGCAATTTTCCTATCTTTTCTCAGTTAGCAAGTTAACTTGGGAATAGTCTGCGCATTATTATTCATTTGGAGTTAAGTTTTATGTTTTTTCTTTCTAGAATGGAGCTTTGCGAATCGTGGATAGGAAGAAGCACATTTTCAAGCTTGCTCAGGGAGAATATATAGCACCAGAAAAAATTGAAAATATATATCTTACAAGTCAATACGTGGCTCAGATTTTTGTTCACGGAGAAAGCCTAAAGGTAAAGTAACCTGTATCTCAAAATATTCTTATATTTCTCTAAAAACTGATCTGATTCATCAGTATTCAAAATTTTCTATGAATTTAATTAATTTCTTTGAAGTTAATGTACTCTTGCTATGCTCTCAGTTATGCTATCGAAATTCTCGTTTCTGTAAAACTTCGAAAGTATCTATTTCTTTTAGATTAATCCTGCATTATTAATTTGAATAACTAACGAGTATTAAAATAATAGTAGCGCTTTAAATAAAAAATAAAAAATAAAAAAAAAAGCATTTTTACATTCAAAAACCTTTTTTTTTTTTTTTTTTTTTTTTTATGTGATGTGCAGTCCTGCTTAGTTGCTATCGTCGTACCAGATCAGAAGGTAGTACAGAACTGGTGCAAAATAAACGAAATTGAAGGTTCATGGAGTGAAATCTGTGAAAACAAGGTAAGCGTTTCATTACGTAAATGATACGTTTTTTTCCTTCCAAGTATTACCCTAGTGCATTCTCGAAACGACAGCTCATTAAAAATTTTAATAAAATAAAGTAAGAAAATCATTGAACTAAACATGTCTAACCCTTATATTAATATTATTCACACTTTTCCCCTCCCCCTGCTGTTGTTAGTGATACGTTTGTTTATGTAAACATTACGAGAGGCGTATACTCAAGAATATTAGTTCATGTGTGTGATTTTTAAAGATGTTTCCCTGCACTAAGTTTCAGTTATCTCAAGAACTTGCCTACAACCATTCACATATGTTTACAAACATACATGCATACATAGATACATATTTGGACAAACATACATGCATACATAGATTTTTTTTTTTTTTTCTTTTTAGCCCCGAAATGCTATTAATTTCGTTTTGGCATTTTGCGTTGAAAACTTTAAATGTCCGTGTCTGGTGTCTTAAGATCCAGTGTCTTCGTAAATGTGTGTCATTCCCTATCCCTATAAACATACATACTTGGAGATGTGGACGTATATTGATGCTCATGCAGTTTCTGGTGATTATTTACTCTAATAACAGGCAGTTGTGGATATTCATACATCATTTTTATGTTTATTTTTATTTATTAACCTGACGGGCATTAGCCCAGAAGTGCTATTAATTTCCAAACGGCATTTTGCGTCGATTCACTTTTCCAGTTGTTGCCACCAAATATTATCGAACCTGTATTATATTTAAAGAAACTAAATAATGAAGAATTTACAGGAATGTTTCTCGCATTGTGAAGAAACAAGGGCACCTAGAGCCATCCAGTTTTGAATAACGTAGTCCCCCCGACCGAACAAGGGCACATGGAGGCCCGAACTTTGAATTCCGAATTTGATTCGTTATCTTTTTAAAATTTAATAAATCTTTAACGAATTTTTCCTTAACAAACTCAACGATTTCAAAGTGAGCAATGGCAACATTGTACGAAAAAAAAAAAAAAAAAAGTTTTATCTCCAGGGTTGCGAGACTGTGTATCGGAAATTCTAAAGATGTGCTGTTTTGTTGCTTTTAAGTATTTTGTGATATTACTGTTGAATTGAATTTTATGTGTTTTAAGTGCGAATAACATGATATTTAATAAATAAAAGTAAGGCAAAAAACGTTACAAAAAAAAAAAAATCCTTTTGGGCGTAATATAAAATCTCAATGCTTTCAGGGTTTTTTTTTTTTTTTTTTTTTTTTTTTTTAGCCCCGAAATGCTATTAATTTCGTTTTGGCATTTTGCGTTGAAAACTTTAAATGTCCGTGTCTGGTGTCTTAAAATCCAGTGTCTTCGTAAATGTGTGTCATTCCCTATCCCTATAAAAAAATTGAAAGATTCCCAGTTTCCTTAGAAAGACAAGTAGCTCTAATTAGACATCTGAACGGACATGACCTGCTTGCGAGACTGTGCCATCAAAAACCCCAAGCTGTGCTTTGTGCGACTCCACAGCCTATGATTTTTGAGCATTTAAATAATTATGAGGACATTATTAAAAAGTACTCCATGAACTAACGGCTTAAGAGCTAATGTTTGGCATTTGTAAAATAAATTATTATTGTAATTTTTAAATTCACAGTTTTAAATATATATAAATTAATATCTTATCTGTTTTATGAAATAAAAGTCTTAAACCTTAGAATTCATTTTAAATTGCATAACAAATCATTGCCATTTTCGACTTGAAAACAAAGACTTATAAGGTATTTTCTTCTCTCCTTTCGGCATGCCTCCTTTCAGCACATACGGTGCGTATTCGAAAATTGAGAGGTTCCAGTCCCGGCGAAGGCACTGCGCATATTTTATGTCTCCTGCTTTGGAATAACCAAATGTCTCTACAGTGGCGCTCGAACTGAAAAAGGCGGATAATGATGATTCTCTACCACCAGGATTTCGCGATTGGGTCTTTTAATCCCCAGTCGCCCTTTAAAAGGGGGGGAGTATATAAGGTATTTTTCCTTCCTTTCAGCATGCCTTCGTAGTGTAATGGTCAGCACACTAGGCTCACAATCTTTAAATATCAATCAGCTGACTGCGTCCACGGCATACATATTTTGTCCTTCTTCGCCTTTTCTATTATAAGTTGTTAAAATTTTTAGTATGGAAAAGGGAAAAACCGAATTAAAAAAAAAAGATTCAAGAGCTTTTTACAAATTAAAATTGGAATTTTATGTTGCGCAAGTATGTACACAATTTTTCTAATTGATTATTATTTCAACTGTATTAAACGGTCTTATCATTAAAAGGTACCAAATGATGTAATATGTTATTTTGTTATATCATTTTTCAGTAAAAATATTGAAGCTATGTATATATGCAAATTTAAATTTAAACAAATTTAAATTTTAGCAAACATGTATATACGTAAAAAAGCAAATTTAAAGTTAAAATTAAAAAATGTGCAAACATATAAAAGATTTAATTTTCGAACTAATCTACAATATCATTTAAATTCAGATAGCATAAGTAAATCAAGTGCAAAACCAAAAACCATGAAAATAAATTCACCAATTTAGCAAATTAAAATTAATCTAAAAAAAATTTATAAATGCATAAGTGAATGACTGTTGAGTAGGCAGGAGACAGACTTATCAAGGGGAAGTTGCCTCCAAACCTAACTCTCCAATCATTCAATTCGTGTTTCGTCATTCATGCAGGCAAGGGTAAAAGTCAAAACCAAAAGTAAAGAGTGAAGAATGTCCAAAAAGAAATATCAATAAAGTGGTACCTTTAGAAATTAGCAATTAAAAAGTAAAGTTCTAAAATTAAAATACCAATGAAGGCTTTTGAGAAATAGCAATGTAAAGTCAAGTATTAAATTAAACTTTTTTAAAAAATTAAATTTTTTAAAAATTAATTTTTCAGAAAAATTAATTCAGAAACAATGCATTTTAGAAAATTAATTAAAATTAATTATGTAAATTTGTATTTAAATTCAATTTATTTAAATTCAATTTATTCTTATATATATGCAAATTTATTTTTATCTAAAAATGAAATTAAAAGAGGTAAAACCAGATTCCTTAAATATTTATCTGCCTCTGTAAACAGATTATGGAAAAATAGGAAAGCTTAGATGATGCAGTAATTAAGCAAACAGCTCGGATTTTGGCAAGAGTAACAGAGCAACCGTTCGTAATGTCACGTACGCATCAGGCAACTAGATAAGAATTTGGCATAGTTATTTGGAAAAACGAATTGCACTTTGTTCACGGGTTTCAAAGAGCACCTTCTGAATTACATTTCTAGCTACTCTTATCACTCACGGAAAGCTTTTTGAACGTGTTCCTCGAACCTTTTTTTTATTCATGAAAAAGAATTATTGAGAAGAAGCAGTTAGGGGCGCAATGTGTCCTTTATATCAGCCCTAGATCTTTCTTACATATCATAATAATTTATTACAAGAATGCAGGCAAAAAATAAGTACCAAATATCTTAATAACTTTCTATGAAATCAAATGTGATATCAACTAAAATTCCTAATTACAAAATACAGGAAGATTATTTAAGTACATAAAATAAGCTTTAGAAAAATGCTGTAGCAACTTAAAATTAAAAAATCTGATTTGATTAGCACTTGACTTCTTTTATACGGCCTACTAAATTAGAATTTTTCTTTTTTTTTCTTTTTTTTTTTTTTTCCTTCACTTCAACTTAAATTGCATTATTGACTTATTCTTACTGAATTAACCGATCTCTCGAAGCAAGTCCAAAATGACATCAAAAACTGCAAATTTTGAAATTAAATAAATTAGTTTTTGTGGCAAGGGTGTAAAACTTCTAATTTTTTTTTCATAATAAGTACATAACTTTCACAGATATAAATATAGGAATCGGGATATCGCATTAAAAGTTAGATTTAATTATTTGGCCAGGTAAGGGGGTGGGTACGTATATGTATGTATATAGTATATAGACACACACGAAAGGAAACACAAGGAATTCCAGTGAGAAGTTCATATTCCACTCATATTTGTAACTTATTTCTATTTTCTAAATAATTCAAATTTCTCAAGAGCTTTTCTCATAACGATTTCAGTAAATTTGAGCATACTTATAGATATATTGATGGCATTATTACTTTTAACAATTTAAATCTCATCGAAAACAGCAACATCTATCCAAAATGTCTAAAACTGAGACAAATAAAAACCAAACAGAAATAGTTTATCTTGTTCTGAGTATTCATAATCTAACAGAAATTAAACTTTTCGATAAAAGAAAAGATTTTAATTTTTCTACTAATAAACTTATAAATCGAAACTCCAGCATATCTAAAAAAGTTATTGCAAATACTATTACACTCACTTCCAAAAGTTAAGTAAGGCCCACCAGCGGCCGAGCGGTAACGTCGCTGAACGCTGGTAATTCGGTCCGAGTTTCGAATCCCGCTAACGAGCTGGCTACATGGGCGTTTTCGTGGTTTTCCCTCATGTGTAACGTGTATACAAGGCTATATAGATACTTTTGTGGTTATGCTCTTATGAAACAAATAATGCCCGTTAAGATTGTGTTGATGAAAACTCAAGTGAATAACTTAATGGCGCTGTTGATATCACGTAGAATATCTGAAACATTTATCTTACATATACTGTGCGTCCACTTTTGTAAGAGAAGCGTCCAGGATACCGTTGATGGTGGTGCTCGTGAGGTCCGTGCCATTACTTTGTTATGTATTGGTTGTTGCGTGGATTTGAGTTGGTTTATAAATCTTGGAAGTGGTCATTTTGTAAAGAGCTCCATAGGTAGTTTGATTTTTCGTACAGTAGGTAGTCCAGGATTTTAGTTTTGCTTCAGTTAGTTTCTTTTTGTAGATTGCACGTTGCTTGTTAAAGTCGGCCATGCTGCTTTGTGTTCCTCGTCGGTCGTTCTCCTTTTCATTTTTCGTCTTAGAGCTTTGGTTTTTTGGCGCTCTGCTCGTAGTTCCTTGGTCCAACAGTTGGGCTTCGTGTTGTGGTTGACT